TCTGGCAACTGCTCAACGACGTACCCGATACAATCATTCCAAATTAGATTTCTGTCCACGAAAGAAATAAAAAATAAATAACGTATTTGTCTATGACATAACACTGACATTAATGTGTAAACCGTTGCTATCATAACAAATGTGGCCATGTTTGGTCTCAGTGATTTTTAATAGTCCACCATCTTTGTTTTTAAGTACTTTTGTGTAAATGTTTGCAGAAAAAAATAATTCCAACACACACACACAAAACTACAAAATAAATTTATTTAATTTTTTTATTGAGAATTCAAACGGAACTAACTGGGCTTCACCATTATCTGTCATGAGTTAAAATAGACTAAACCCATCTTTACAAAACAGTTGAGTTGATAGGATTTTCTCCCTGCCATGCGTTTCACACGACAGATACATATGATACACATGCTTTTGCCAAGTATATGCACTTAATAAATAAAACTAGATTAATCTTGTCGTGGGATGACTTGCACATCCAAGTGCCTACATATCAGTCTCTGAGATTCTTTTAAAAAAATCACAGTCCAGTTGGATTTAGAACAGGGTTGTGCTCCTCTCGTGGTTTTATGTGATCTACTAAGATATCATGTAATGTCAGAAGATGTTTCCCTCTCACTTGTTCCTCTTGTAGATTTTTTTGGCAAAGTTAAGGAAAACAGAATGAGGAAGGTTCTGTGCGTGGCCGTTGATGAGTTTCTGCAGCCTCTGGTAGCTCTCTTCTTCATAGGTCTGGTAAAGTGTGGGCATTTGTAGTGTGTTGTACAGCGCTTTGACTTTTTCTATGCTCTCTTCACTGTGACGTCCATAACATGCCTGAGGAATAAAAAAAAACAACAACAAAAAAAGACCAGAGTTAGTAATAAAAAAAAACAACAAAAAAAGACCAGAGTTAGGTTTGGGAACCATTGTGTCATCTATTTTGTCCACTGTTTATGAAATTATTCTGACTTCATCACCTCCAGCTCTGCTCTCTGTCCAGGGGTCATGACCTCCAGAGCTGTCACCACCAACCAGCTGCATTTGTTATCCTGTATATCTGTACCAATCTTTCCTGTAACAGCAGGGTCACCGTAACAGTCCAGGTAGTCGTCCTGAAACATATAGTAGTTTATCAGTAACATTTCACGGTGAACATTTGCTGCGTCACACAATGGCATTTTGTTTGTAAAAAATAAATAAAATAATTTACCTGTATCAGTCAGTAAGATTTTACTGTGAACTTTTGCTGCATCACACGACATTTTGTTTGTAAAAATAAATAAAATAATTTACCTGTATTTGAAAAAATTCCCCCATCTCAAGTAAGATGTGTTTGGCGTGATTGTGTTCCTCGTCACTGTTTATTCCTGCCTACGAGAGCATTGATAAAACCACCATTAAACCAAGACAAGTAAATGAGAAACATTTGTTCAAAGTTTGTTTCTGTGACTAATGTTTCACTCTTAGTGTTTGCAGCGTTGTGTGTTTACAACTCTCACCATGTACATCGCAGCTGCCACTGGAAGGTAAAAGGAGTAGAAGGCGGTCTTGTACTTGACAATAGCTTTATACCTAAAGGATAGAAGAAGAAAGAAGAAAAAACACCTTTAAAATGACCTGCTTCACTACAGAAAAATCCAATATGGGATCTTACTTTACATATTTACTGCATCACCTCTCCGTTGTGAATCTGTTGAGGTCAATATGACCAGGAGGGGCAGTCATGAGGTCCAGAGCTTGGCCCAGCATCGTCTGGAAAGACGTCTGAAACATATGCAGATGCATTTAGCATCTTAACGTGACATCCGTTTGTCCATGTGTACAGACTCAGCATCTCTAATACCTCAGTGAACAGCTCCAGCAGGTGGATGTAGTAGGGCTGATCTCTGCAGTGTTTGCGGAGAAGCCTGTAGATGGATGCTTCTAGAAGAAATGAATCATTGATGGCATCCAGACCGATTCTCTCCTTAAAAACAAACAGGCGTGGCCTAATGAGAACCAGAGCACTTTGTCGAGAAGCGTGATAAATGAATACAGTAAAATCGCTGGTTCCCACCTTCTTGTACCAGCAGGGCTGCCCTCTCCGAGTTACAGATGAATCCATGATGTCATCAGCCACAAGGAAAAACGCCTGAAGCTGCAAACAAGAGAGACAGAGTTGATTCACGCGATGATTAAGACGACGTAACACCCTTGTGTGTAAGTGTCACAACAGCTCTTCAGAGTTGCAAGAGAAAATGTGAGATTTCAGTTTACATCATATTTAGTGAATTTGGAGACTTTTTCTAACCCCAGCTGCATTTAATGAAATATTTAAAATACAGAGCACTGACGGCATCTCTGCTAGCTACTCAGGATACAGGAGACTAGCATCCCATACTTTAGAGCATATGTGTTAAACTCAAGGCCTGCGGGCCAAATATGGCCCACCAAGTCATTTTATGTGGCCCACCGTTTGGGCCTAAAAAGTGTTTATTTGCCTTATAATAAAGTGCATGCTGGTGAATTTTTTAACTTGATAAATTATTTTTCTTTATTACATAGAGCACTGTACAATATTTGTAACTTGAATAAATAATAATCAATTTCAGAAAAATGTATTAATACATTTAATACAGCCGGCCATTCAAGCGGAACTATATTGTTGATGTGGCCCCCTGGTAAAATTGAGCTTGACCCCCCTGTATTCAATGGTAGATTAGGATGGTCATACATTCATAAATAGCAAATTTCATTTTTTTCCACTCTCACGTGATCATATTTTTTACAGAACACACTGCCTGTTCCATTTTATACATGTGTAATTCTGTCATTTCCTAACTTTATTCCACAGTCATGTCATTTTGTTACCATGCATGGTATGTACTACCCTAGTGGGGGTCAGGGCCCTTTGCTCTTTTTGTATTTTTTGGTCCCGATGGGAAAATGGCACTGCATTTTCTTCTTAACTTAACATACTCCATGCTAGCATTGTATGCTACAATAAAATTGTGAAAAGGTGTGGTACCACTGTACACTTGGCAGTACAGTACCTACCAACTCAATGCACCACCCGACTATGAGAGCCCTCTGCACGATGTCCTGTGTGAGCTGAGAAGGTGGGAGCAGCTCCCTCAGCGAGCCAATCACAGACAGGCCCCGGTTCCTCTTACCTCCAGGTGCATTGTACTCCAAAACCTAGGGGGCAACAAGGACAGAGAATAAGAGTTAGTCCGGTAAACATGTTTTAAACTACAGATACAGATAAACAACACTGCCAGGGGCCTAAGTACCTCTCGAAGTCTTCTCAGAGCGTCACCCAGCACTGGATCAGTTAAGTCCCGCTCTGTTAGCTCCGTCAGCAGCTCCTCAAACTGGTCGTCAAAGAGCTGAGTGTCGGACAGCAGCGCCTTTTTGTTGTGCGTCCCATTACACATGCTGTCCCCCTGTGTGGACGAGGTGCACAGCGGAACACATGAGTGTTTTGGCTTCAGATGACAAACAGTCGGTGACGATTTGAAGACACCTGTTATAACTCTGAGGGAGCGTTTCATCACCAAACAAACAAGTAAACAACTGTCGTCAGCAGAGGACGAGTGGCTAACAAACCGCGTATACACACGACATTACTGTATTAAAAGTGTTCCGGTGAGAAAACGCACAGGCTAACGATGCTATGTGGTCGTCTACACAGGCTCACGTGAACGCAGATTAGGTCAAAAAAATACTACAGCCTGTAAGTTCCGTTGACATAGGGTAGCGTTCGCTGACGTCCAGCCTACGTGAATCTCCGCATCCAGTCACTATGCAAGGCTCGTTATCAGTCGCGTTGCAGGAAGAAAATATATTTGTTCTTTAAAAAAAACGTTTACATACCATGATCTCGGCGTCTTTAAGTGTACACGTTGTCAATATAGTACCGTAAAAGCAGCTTTCTTCTCCTACGGTAGATTATGACTGAGTGTCTTTGAAGGCAGGATGTGCAGATTGTAGTTCTTTGAGGCGCTGTCGTCCGTTTTGTTATAAAGCAGCGGAACTAAGCTACCCACAATCCTTAGCGACAACCCTCAGTTGGGCGCGGCTTAGAAAAAGGTTCCATTTGACATTGAACATTCCCATTCGCTGGAAGCATCGAACCAGGATGAGCTTTCGCATCGACTGACCAATAAGATTTGAGAAGAGGCGGGGTTAAAGTGGAGCGTTTACGTCTTAGTGCAACAATTAGTAGTTCAAAAGAGAGAAAAAAGAAAAAGAAAAGAGCTATTGGCAGATACAGGTATGAAGTGAAAAGCGGAAGAATTAAATATTAACGGTGTGAGCTACGTTACTAAACTAAATTTGTCAAAGTTTGTACTGTAATACCGATTGTTTATTCATTTTTAACAGACATATAGGCTGTGAAAAACATTCCAGGTCCTCCAGATACTTTCAAACTACTGTACATTAAATTATTAAACAGAGGTAAAATACAAACACAGAAAATACTTGTGTTTGTATTTTCTGTGTTTGACATGGGCCACATCCAAAACAGACATTGCTTTTTGTATAAAATATATTTGAAAATACATTTTTTCTGTGCCATACAGCTTTATAATGTATAAACACAAAATAAATAAATAATAAATATAACTTAAATGCCCAATTTGATATGAAACCGACATAAAATAACATTCTCTCTTGAAAACAAAAGGTTCATGTACAGATTATGAACTTAAATCTACATCTCTGAGCTGGTTCTGCCTCTGCCCCCTATATTTACAACTTCTTTGGAGGATTAAAAGCAGCTGACATCCTTCATGTTGCTTGATTGCTACCTGTTGAAGATAATTTTTTATAGGTAATCATAAATTTTCATTTTCATATTTAGTACAAAACATCAACAAAAGTATTATACTTTAGTACTATTATTTATTTTATATGCTGAAATACATAACTTGCATTGAAAGATTTGTCATTGACACTGCATTTAAAATCTGGAGTAGGTGTCATATTTTGATACATTTACAATTCAGGTTCCAAGGCCATGTTTTCTGTTGAGCCTGTCATACAGATATAGTACATTTATTCAATAAATAATACATTATGCAGAAGAAGAGGTAGAAACACAGCCCGGTGCCTTTACAAGGGAGTGCCAGTGTGTCTGTGTTTGTGTGTAGATTTTTTTTTAATATTTACATATTTACTAGTGCTCCAAAAATGTTCCATTACTTACAATGAGTCGATACTGTGACGCCAAAAAGACTTACAAAGAAAAATACTCTTTTTCCGATACACATATTTCTGATACTTGAATAAAGAAGCTGTGTGTCCACAGACCAACTCAGCTTCTTTATTTGTCCTTCATTTACTGTACACTCACAACCATTTCAAAAAACCGGGCGGGAGGGAACCATGCTGAGACGTTATCTGAAGCCGCAGCTCACACTCAAATATGTCTGTACGTTTATTGCAAGACACTCAGTATGCAGTCACTGTACAGTTCACACATCTATTCTACAGGATCAGACTGACTGACAGTAGTCTATGTTCCAAACCCCATAAAAATCAACGAAGGGTTCAGTGGCATGTTTGGAGTTTTCTGGCAGTAAACCCTGGAAACGCTACACATTTCCTGCTCCGACTTTTTTCCTCCGGGCCATCTAACAACACAGACACATTCAAATAGTGGCTAATATCATAGTTCTTGGGTGCAAGAGAAGGGGGAAAAAAAGTGATAAACATTTTTCCGAACATGCAGGGGGAGACATTCTGAGGACATGTTACTTAGATACACAGACCGTCAGGATTTGAAGCTCAGGGATCCTGCTTTACGCTGAGGGCGCTAGCAAAACATGCACATATGCAGAACAAATCAGTGCGTCCGGGGGGGCCGTCCACCCAGGAAACATTTACAAGGTTCGTTGGAGTCTGTTAAGTATTATCAGTGCTAGAAATGGTTGCAATTTCTTTTGAAGGCCAACAGAGTTTTGTGAATGTGGGAAAAAAATGTAAATGTCAGGCTTTTAGAAAAATGAGAATGTTACCGGCTGCTTTACTCCTCATCTTCTTCATACTGTGTTAGTTATACGTTGATACAGGTGCAGTTTACGTTAAGACTGCAAGACAAAATAAAGGTTTACATGATCCCCTCCCTCTAGTGGTTGGGTGGATATATGACAGGATAGAAATGGGCCAGATGCAATTAGGTAGCCACAGTTGTGGACATCGGTTCCACGTACATGGGATAAAGTGGTTGTGATGTCATCGATGAGTTCTGTCACAAGTCTGGAGGAAGAGTTTCTAGCTTCATGAGAGTGGTCTGAGTCAACAATGAATATGTCAGAAACCCTGACCTGACCCTGATTTAGACTGTTTTAGTTTGATGACCATCAGTGAAAATAGCGCCCCCCTCTGGTCAGTGTTTTCAGAGATCAACGTCAAACAGGCCGCTCGCTGAGGTGGCTTCAGACGAGGCTTTAAAAAGTTTCATGTGATTGTTATCTGCTCTAGAACCCTTCACCATTTAACTGTACCATTTTGGATCTCTTCACCTCTCGACCCACGCCGTCTTCACAGCACGGACTCAGAATACAGAGCCCCCGATGAGCCGTGGGGCGGACAGGGTGACACCAGTCGCTGAAGAGACGCTGTGGACGAGAAGCTTAAATCTCCACAGCTGCGCAGGTGAATCCCCTCTGGCACCCGGCGGTTGTGGTGTCGGTTGTGTCTACTGTCACTATGGGAATAGTGGTGTCCTCGGTGATGAGCAGGATGGTGGCTGTGGTGGTTGGGCTGACTTCTGCCTGTGCTCCAGGTGGACCGCATAACCTGATAAAAAAAAAAAAAAACAAGATAAATGTTCTTCTTTTGGCTGCTCCCTTCGGGGGTCGCCCAAGCTCCATCTTACCCAATCCCATACTTCTTGAAATGCAACACCAACATTTTAAACAGGACGAATACCAGGAAGAAACCAGGCCAAGTGTATTAGAAAGAATATGTCATTAAAAATGGGTGAAGAAATAAAAAAGTTTAAGTGTTCGTACTTGCTCCAGGGGTATATGGTTGGGGGCGACCCCCTCGGCTCCACTCCGTTTCTTCGGTCCCTGTCCTGTGCTCCCAGCATGCTCTGAGGCAGGAGCCAGGTTGCGTTTAGAGCGGTGCAGGAAGCGGGCCACCAGAACTCGTGTCACCTTAGGAAGAAATGAAGAAAGACTAGTGTGAGTGAGGCTGACACAGGACAGACACTTCTGACAGTTATCATAAAAGCCGTTCATGTCGTGGAACGTTGTCCTGCCTTCAGGTCTCCCAGGGAGCGGTGACACTCTTTGGGCAAACGTAGTGAGTTTGTGGGCGGAGGTTTGAGAGGGATCTGCAGAGATCGAGTGGCGGATTTGATGCTGCCTTTAACTGGCAACGCTGCAGCAGGAGGTGAAGAAGAGCGAGGCAAGAGACAGGCCTCGGAGGACGGACCTGAGGAGACAGACAAGACACAGAGAGAAAAAAAGGAGAAAACTTTAATGACTTTAAAGTTGGTCTGTAGGAGATGAATATATGATGAGATTAAAAAAATACACAAGGTTTTCTTCCTTAATAAACAGAATAGAATAACACATAAAAAACTATTTTCGTGGTGGAGTAAAACAGAACCAATAAAGTTACTTGTGTTTCCTGTAGTTCATGTTTTCTTTTCTTAGATAAACCTGAGAAGAACCACCTGACAATGATCCAGTCATTCACCAATCAGATAGCATCGTCCGTATATCAGTCTCCATATTTTCCCACAGTCTAATTTGATTAATTAACAATGTAACGTCACCACTGTCAGTTTACATTTGGAAGGCTCTAATAACTCCAACATCTACACAGGGTCTCATTTGCACGTTCCCCTCTGTTTAATAGATCTTGACAAACGACAGTCATTAGCTGCTGAAA